ATCATTCCAAGGAGTTCTCCAGCCAACATTTTGGCCTCATATGTCCTTGACCTCCTCATATCCCATGAGGAAGTCTCCTCTACCTGCCCCCCACCACCACCTCATCCACCTCAGCCCACCCAAGGCCTCTCTTGGCACTGTCACCATTAGAAATTTCCCTTCTCTGAAATCACTCATTCAAATAACCCACCCTGACCACTTTCTTCTGTCCCTCCAACTGTCAATGGGTATCTCATAGACACTTCCAACTCAAAATGACAGAAAATGAGAGGAGTCAGAAGTTTATGGATGTGAACCCTTTAATAGTATTTGCTGATGAGAGTAACACTGGACACCTTCAGCTGTGAGAGGTTTTGGGGCTGGATAAGACTGTGAGGGCTTCCACCAGGCTCTGGGTTGCAGACATCATCAGTTCTTCTTTGATTGGGGAATCTCATCAACCTCATCACTGGCATCAACATGAATCAGAAGGCTGAGCTGTGGGTCGTTGTCCACTGCTCTCTCCACATGTTCTGGGGTGATGTGTATCCTGTGGTTATTGTACGCCTCATTGCCTGCCAGCTCCAGGATGTTGGCCGCCAAGTACTTGAGAATTCCAGCGAGAAAAATAGGTGTGAACAAATTCAGGCGCTGGGCATAGTTTCCTTCACGCAGGAGACGGTCCACCAGGCTCACGGAAAACTGCAGTTCTGCCCTTGTGGAGCAGGAGAGAGATGGTCTCCTACACCTACAGGAGCTGTGATAGCTTCTTTTCCTACTCATGATGTTTGCTGAGTTTGGCTCTGATCAGTCCAGCGTGACTGCCATGCTGGCCAGGGCCTATCAAGACACCAGTGCTTATTCCTGCCCATTCATTGGTCAGGGAGCTGCCTTTGTGACACCTAGAATTTGTGATGTTGTTGGTGTCCTCTGGACTTGATCAGGCCCAGGCCAGGCCTAGGCCTAGAAATGTCCCTGGTAAGAACCTGGTCACTCTGATGACTGAACCTTCTTTTTGTGAGAACTCTAACTTTCTACTTGACTTTAACATTGTAGAGGTTAAAAAAAGTGTGTTTCAGTGGGAACTTTGCCCTGTCTAGTGGCCACCACTCTAAGTTACCTGATTCTAGCCTTGCATTGTAAGGTAGTTCACAAGCCTTTATAAGTTATAGGTCACTGATGTTGTTGTTAGGTGCCATTGAATAGGTTCCGACTCATAGTGACTCTATGTACAACAGAATGAAACACTGTCCAGTCCTGCGCCATTCTCACAATCATTGTTATGCTTGAGCCCATTGTTGCAGCCACTGTGTTAATCCATCTCGTTGAGGGTCTTCCTCTTTTT